TACAAAAAAAATCTTTGATTTCTTGTAGATTTATCGAGTTAAAACGGATGGACTAAAGGATTATAAGGATGAAAGATGAATGCATATGGACAACAACTTGGAAGTAGCCGAAATTTATTTATATTAAGACATTGTAATTTTCATTTGTGATTAATTGTATTCATATATGATTGTAAATGTGTTTTGTTTATTTATTTTTTGCAAAGTTGATGTTTTATCTCTAATTTGTGTTCTATTCAATTAAGATTACAAATGTATTGATTTTTTTATTTTTATGATGTTCTTTATTCAATTACAATTATATTTGTATTTATTAAAAAACTATATTGTTTTATATTTATGAATGAAAATGTGCATTCAAATATGAATACAATGTCTCAAAGTGATTTTAATCATTAAGTAGAATTGTGTCGATATAAATGTACAAAGTCAAATTATAACATAATCATTTATGATTGATAGTTTAGTTTTTTATTCATTTACGATTGACGTATATTTTACTTGAAATCAGGAGAAAAAAATGATTTGTTGGAATTTTTTTTTTCAGTTTTAAAATAAATTTTGGAAAAATATTTTTTATATTTCATTAATAAAAAAAATAAAAATAGAATATTTTTTTTTGGTAACTGATCCTAAATTTAAGGGAATTTGATTAAATTCTATTTTATTTTAATTTAATTAAAATATACAATTACTAATATACTCTTATATATTCATTGGTCCAGAACTGTTCTCGCGTTCTCAACCTTTTAGGTGTTCTCATTTGATCCTTACCCTATATATATATATATATATATATATATATATATATATATATATATATATATATATATATATATATATTACATTTTTTAAAGTTTACTTCTTCGCTACTTTATTTTCCGAAAGCGAGTAATTACATTGTCAATCTTAATATTATTAAGTGCTTTCTTTTCTACACTACAAATCAAAACATCATTCATAAAATCGTCACCCATTCTATTACGGAAATCGGTCTTCAACAAATTCATTGTGGAAAAAACATTGTTCAACGACTGTGGTTGCGACAGACAAAACCAAAGTTAGTTTTAATAATCTATAAACCAAATGAAAATAAAGGTGCTTTCATGTTTCCACCAACAAACGAGAGAGGTCTACAATTCCCTTCAAGTTAACAAATTTCTCATCATGGAGCAAAGAGTAATAATATGTATCAAGTTGTCCATTAAGATGCACCCTTTATGAATCGTTAAAATAGTTTTTGTATATCTCGCTTAACTTCAATATCTTTGATTTATCAAACCTAGAAAATTAGTCATAAGGACTCAAAGCCGCCATGTTCTCTATTAATTTCATGCCAACTTCACTAAATCGATCCCAAATTCTTGAATTTGCATATCCAAAACCGTGTTAAAAATCACAACTTCAAAATGATGTTGATTAGTCATATTAATATTCGAATATTTCCACAATTCCAGTACTATGATTTTCACAAAAAGCAAACCCATCTTTTCTCAAAAGTAGCAATGCTTTCTTTGTCCATTTTACTAATGAAGTCGCTTCCAAAATATATTGATCTTTTATTTTATGATGTTTTGACAAGGTATCTGTGAGGCCTAGAAGTGTAAAAGAAACACGAAATAAAGTGTCTTGAAATATGACAAAATACCCTTTGCTTGATTACTGTTAGATAAACTAGACCCCTTCTATTTGACATATTTAAGTACCTCAACAACTCTGCAAACAAATTCATCAAACTTACAATTGTTCTATAATGTGAACCCCATCTAGTATCTCTAACTCATGATGACCATGAAACGGTAATGTATTTTTCATAAAAAAAACTACAAATACGAATTGTAGCACGTAATAAAATTCCATAATTACTTTTCTCAAGTTCTGTTTGCTTACAAAAGACTTCACTAATAGATTTTTTTTCAATAGCAAAGCACACTTTTGTTGTGCCTTTTGGTGATAACTTTGAATATTACCTAAATGTTTCCACAATGCTTTTTTTTACTCCAAGTGTCAAAGCCTTCGGTTACAAATACATCTCTTCCACCTTATTGCCCTACCATGTCTCCAAACAAGTAGCGACACAAACAATATGCCTTCATCTTTTTAATGGTATACTCTAACCATGAAAATTCATCAAATCATTCCATAACAAAACGTCTTATCTTCTTACCAAATAACTTTTGATTCAAAATTATGCCCATTTGGTTGACAAAGTCCTTTAATCAAATATGTCCTCCTTATTTCATTCCCTTGATTAGGATGATAAAATGTAATCTTTGGCATATCCCTCGAGTCTGAAGGAAGATAATTCAAGTCAAAAGTTTGTAGTATTTGTGGTTTTTAAGTAGGTTCATTAGATTGTGGTTTTTTTTTGGAGTAGGTTCATTAGGTTGTGGAACTTCTGTACTTTCATTAAACTTTTTTTTTAAGTTCCTTCACCATTGTCATATCCAAATTCCATCATCTAATTATCTTTTGAAAAATTTGTTAATAGAACCCTACAATCAAAATATATACTATAAGCTTGATTTTAAGTTTCAACAACAAACAATGATTAACTATTAACCCTAAGTCCCTAATTTAACAAACCTAATTGCTAATTTCTAATTTTTCAACACAATGCCAAAAAATAGAATTTTGAAATAACCTAACAATAAATAATACAACAAATAATAAGATTAAGTTTTTTTTTATTTACTTACTTGTTTCATTGTGCAAGTCGACCACTATAGGGAGTTTGCTGGAAAAAGACCGCGGACAACAGCAAGTCTGTAACGTCCCACAAATTCCAATAAAAATTTTCGTTTTTAAACCATCAAGTTATACATCCATATATTCCAAAACCAACAAGGTAAAAATGTATTTTTCAAACATCAGAGTAAACCAAAAGTAATCAGTGCGGAAAAGACATCAAAAGATGTTGTGCAGTCAAGCCGGGCCCTTCCCCATGGAATTGGAAGCACCTTAAAATGTTTAAACCACAAAACGTAAGCACAAAGCTTAGTCAGTTCCCCAAAATACCACATATCATACATATAATATGGATTGTTATCGGTCAACCATAGTCTTACTACCACTATCGGTCATGAGCAAATCATGGTCTTTCCTTGCTACATCAGGAGCCAAAACCTGGTCTTATATACAAGTGTCAGAAGCCACCTCCTGGTCTTCCTTGCAATCATCACAAAGACAACTAACAACATAAAAAATAACCATCGAGACCAGACCCTAGTATTGCATACAATTGCTAGGAGCCACCACCTGGTTTTCATACATATGCCAAGGGCCACCACCTGGTCTTCCATGCAAGTATCACTAAGACAACTAACATCCTACATAGTATAGTGAGAAGACTTACCTTGCCAATGAAGTCCACATCTAACAGATCAATGCCACGCAACCAGTGCTACAACACACCTATCAAGTCATATGAGGTCCAACCTTAGCCTATATCCCGAATCCAATAAACTGACCAAAAGTAAACCATGCCAAAAAGTCAACGGTCAAAGTCAAAGTCAACAACCAACAATACCAACAGTCGACCCTCACGTCATGACCAACTCTTGGTCACGTTGTGAGAACACACTCAGCCCGATTCCAACTCGGCCAACTTGGTCACAGACAACTCACTCAGCACGCACCACGACGTGAACCTTCTTTGCTCACGTCGTGAATACAACAAAACAAGATAATCGAGGAATCCACCCTCGTCACGTCGTGATACCCTCTATGTCACGTCGTGACCACCGTCTGAGGAAAAATATTAATGTTTTGAGTCCTTAATCCATTAAGTCTTCAACTCTAACTTTCCAGAAAGTTTTAAGGGACTCTATAGGTTCATAAAAATGCCAGCTTTATGGACATGCATGCTCCATGCATGTCCTCTACCCAACCTAGGTAAAAAGAAAGAAAATGACCTAAAACTTATGTAAGGTTCAAAATCCACAACTAATCCTTAGATCCATAAGATATGATGCTTTAGGGACTCTGTAGGACCATAAAGTTGCCAACTCTATTCGATACATACACTCAAATCAAAACTACGAACCAAAAGGAACTAAAACAACTTAGATCTAAGAGAATAAACCATAAAGGTAGAAGCTCGAATCCTTACAAATGGTCCAGAAGGTGATATCAAAGATGAGAAAGTATTGCTTGCTTGATCCTTGCACCAATTCTCCTTCTACTTTCTTCAAAGAGCACCAAAACCACCAAAATGAGCCAAACCCACCAAGATGGACTATGGATAGGGTTTCTGAGGTTTGAGAGAGATGGAGGCTAAGAAATGAACCCTAAATCCGAGTTTAGGGTGCTTAAATACGAAGGAAACCCTAAAAGATCATGGGTTTGGGCTATAGCCCTTTTCACGTCGTGACCACATACATGTCATGTCGCGACCATCCTCCAGATACACATTCTTCATTTGCCTGGTCACGTCGTGACACTCGGTTTTCCCCCAAAATCAAGTTTTTGCCTTCTTAATGTCCTAAACCGATCCAATCTGGAAAACGGGTGTTACAAAGTCGTCGGTAACAACATACAACAGCGTGAAGTCGTGAACAGTGTGTCGGGGTGGAAGGAACGAACAACAACAACTCTATTTCGTTCTTTCGATTTTTTTCAAAACAAGAAAAATAGACTTCTACCTTTCTTTGTTTCATTACACTAATTTTTTTTGAGCTTAAAAAGTTTGGACCACTTAAACGTATTCGACATTTTGACTATTTTAAATATTTTGGGCTATTTTGTATTTGGATTTATAATTTAGAAATAACCTAAATTTTTTTGGGATTTTCCCAAACTTTTTCAGAATAGCACCGCAATATGAAACAAAATTTTACGAAAATTCACTACTGGGCAAAATATGAAGGGCATTCTAGAGACTACCCCGAGCTCTTTCATAGGTCCGCCAATAATTGATTTTTCGTTATATATATATATATATATATATATATATATATATATATATATATATATAACAACACCTAATATATATGACTAATATTTTGAAAAAAACTAAAAAAGATTTAATCACATAAGTATATAAGGAGAATATAGCATCGCTTTTGTTCATTCAATAGTAGGAGGTGAGTTTCACGCGCCGCGTATTCCGGTAGGCATTGAAAAAAAAATATAAATGGAATCACATCACTTCGGTCAGTGTGACAGTGTCTCGCCGCTTCCAATTTTCTTTGTTACATTTATCAAACGTAATCCAACGCGCCTTAACGCCTTCGTCAACCACCGTGTGCTCATTGCTATCTCGGTCTCTGCATCTTCATCGTCCACTGTTTAACAGACACAAATCCGAAAACAAGTACAGACATTTTACTTGAGGTCCGCATTTAAGATCCGCAACAAATTTCAGCTTCGATTCTTCCTCTTCGAGTGCTGATAGCCATTGACTTTCAGTTTCTCCGATACATTATTCACTCAGGTACTGTTTGTGTGTAAAATGCTGCTTCAGCTTAGAGATGCATAGCGAGTTGTAGTATGCTTTGAGATTTGAAATAATTCGCAAATCGATTGGAAATGCTGTTGTAAGCTGTGGTTATCTTATGTTTTTGTGTCGGTGAGCTGAAATTTTTTGCTATTAGGGCTTTTTTTTGCTAGATCTAAACTTCAATAGTCGATTTAGGTCTTGCATTATTACCTTGACTTCTTTAGCTCGTTGACACTTTCTTAGCTTATGATTCCTGCTTCTTTCTGAAAGATTGTGGTTAATTTTTCCTTTTAGTAGTGGATGTTTATTGTATGCAAGTGTTCTGAATGGGATTAAAGATCATCGGTTTTTTTGTATATTTGCAGGTAAGTATTGATCTGAATGCAACTACGGAGTGAAGATGTTTCTAATCAACAGTTGACATGACTTGTTTGCTCTCTTGCTTATTGCTATAAGTGAGCGTGTGAAGAGGTATTTCAGAAATTGAAAGCTGAAAGCAAGTTGAATTGGGAATATCATTGATTCAGGTTGTTGAGGATGGATAGAAGAATTGATCCTGATGCACCAATTGATTATGTTGAACTTCAGATATTTCCAAGCCATAACAGGTTTTCCTCTTCTCAACTTACTTACCGAGACTTTATTTGCCAAATCTTATCTCTTTGCAACAGATTTCTGATTGCTTGATCTAGAACTCTGATTGTTTGATGTTTAATGTTGAGTCACAACGTTTGCTTTTGCCAATATCCAACTTATAAAATTCTGTTCTGTAGATATGAGGCATGTGTATCAACTAGCAATATAGCAGAAAAGGTAGCATCTGGAGACTTGCAACAACTATTGTTGCATTTACCTCAAGTAAAAGATCTGTCATCCAAAAGCTCAAACTCAAATTTCAAGATTCTAGCACCCGAAGATTTCAATGACCATAGTTGGTTCACAACAGCCACATTGAAAAGGTCCATATCATATTTCATCTTCATCCCAATTTTCTTCTTTTTTTCAATAAATTAAGAGGTTGTCCACTTCTTGCTTACCCAAGTTGTTTCAATTCACCAGATTCCTGCAAATTGTTGGTTCACAAGACATTCTTACCATTGGAAATGAAATTTCTCAACTAGAAGAGACCAGAAAATTCCAACTTTCTTTGTTTGCAAAGGTGCGTTTTGTAATGTTTACCTTCTAATCACCTATAACATATATTTTTTAAACAACCATTGTGATTCATGTATTAACAGGCTGAAGTTGACATGACATCATCGTTCGAATCAAAGTATGCTCTTCATGTTCATCTCATCATAAATTTTTTTTTTCATCCATTTTCTCAACCAATTATATTCTCATAGGAATGAACTACTACGAACAGTGGATCTGAGGCTCTCAGAATTGAAAGAGAACTTATCAAATGCCCTCAACCAAGCTACAGGTGCTAAATGCTCAACCAATGATATTTCCAACATGGAAAACCTCGCTCATCATTTTGGAGCAGAAGATATAAGGTATGTATATTTGGTTTACAGATTTCAACAGAATCAGAATCCAAGATTCATTTCAAATTTTCAATCACCTGTTTCAGGGACTTGTTACAGAAGCTTCTAGAGTTGAGTCAATTAAAAGACTCCATAACTGAAACAAGTATTCCCACTTCTCAGTTATCTCCACCTGTAAAATACGGCGTCTCTCCAGCAAAAGCTGCACAGATAGAACGCCAGATGTCAACAGACAGTGAAACCTCGTTTTCAAGTGAAGACAACCAACCACCACCAATTGAAAGAAGCCGAACTCCTGCAAGATCTGCAGCTTCTAGAAGGTCAGCATCTCCAATGAGAAGAATCCAAATTGGACGAGGTGGGCCCCGCAGACCAGCTGTTTTAAGTATCAAAAGTCTCAACTATGCTAAGACCACAAGTCAAAGAGATGAAGCTGGTCAAAGTAGTCAAGAGGAAGATGAAGAGTCAGAGAGAGTCGCGAAAAGTAATGCATTGAGAATGAGTGTTCAAGATAAAATAAGTCTGTTTGAAAGTAAACAGAAAGAAGATCAAGGTGTTGAAATTCAGAAGCCAAAGATTGTAGAAAAAGCTGTACTCAGAAGATGGAGCTCAGGAATGAGTGAAAGTCATGGAACTTCTGAAATCATCCATAAAGATCCAGAAACAGAAGAAAACATGAAATCTATCTCCCCCAAAAAGGATGCTGACGTGGCAGATGATGATAAAGAACACGGGAGTTGTGAAAAGGATATTTCCACATGGAATGAACAAAAGGAAGCCGAATTAAACCAGTTGTTTAACAAAATGATGGAAAGCAAACCAGTTAGAAGACATAGTGTGACAAATGATAATAGCAAAGGTAAAAAAAGTTCTTCAAAGGAGCAGAGAGGTGGATTTTATGATCATTACAAGCAAAAGAGAGATGAAAAGCTTAGAAAGGAAGTTGGAAAGAGAGCTGAAAAAGATGCACAATTTAAAGAAATGCAACAGGTTCTAGATGATAAAAAAGCTGAGATTGTTTCCACTAAAAATAAACAACCTCAAAAGAGCAAGAGCCCAATCCCCAAAAAGGAAGCCAAAAAGGAAACCCCGAAAGCTTCTGTTGTGAAGAAAATTACAAATAAGCCCTCGTCTCAATTGCCTGCTACACGGAAATCATGGCCTTCAGCTCCTTCACCAAAACCTATCACAACATCTTCTACTCCTACACCAACTCGAAAACCTCAATCTGCAACGCCAGCTGTACGCCCAATTACAAAAGTTGAAAAGTCAAAACCACAATCCAAGATTTCAAAGGTAACCACTACACAACCTGAAGCTAAGAAGATGACCACTAAAACTATCATTGAGAAGAAGCAGACACCGGTGGTAAAACCAAAACCCCGAACCAAAGCCGAAACTCCGGCGACTCCTTCCACCACCGCCGCCACCACTGCCGCCAATGCCGCTAAGCCGAGTTTTTACAAGAAAGTTACTAAGAAGAGCAGTGTGGTTCCAGTGGAAACAAAACCTTTTCTTCGTAAGGGAACTGGGATTGGACCTGGTGGAGGTGCGGTTGTGGTTAAAAGTAAAGCTGTGGCTCAAATTGAGGAACCAATCACCACTGAAGTTGAAGCCCTGATTGAACCTGAGAAAATTCAGGTGGTTGAGACTACTACTAAATGTGAAGAACCAGAGTGTGATGATAATGATGATTCCAAATTAGAATTGGAATCGGAAGCCATATGTGAGGAGGTGGTAGAGACTTGTGATGTTAGTGGTGTTAATAAGATAGAAATGGTGGAAGTTGAAGCTGAAGCTGAAGTTGAAGTTGAAGTTGAGGAGGAGTTGATGATTTCGCCAACTGCGTGGGTGGAGAATAATTGTGAGGATGAGATTGTTGTGTGTGAAGAAAGGTCTGTTAATGTAAATGTAAATGTAAATGTAAAGGTGGGTGGTGGTTCAGGTTCAGCCAATGTGGGTGTGCCAGGTGGCGTGTCGAGTCCACGTGTTCGGCATTCTTTGTTTCAGATGCTTCTTGAGGAGACGGGTGAAAGTGAGAGTGGTGAGTGGGGGAATGCACAGCATCCTCCTGTGCAGAAAGATGCACCCAAAGGGTTTAAGCGGCTTTTGAAGTTTGCTAGAAAGACTAAAGCGGATCTACTTCTCACAGATGGTTCAAGTCCATCCAGCATTTTCAGGAGAGGATGAGGATGATGATGAAAATCGTAAGGTAATAATAATATCTTTACATTATACGCATGTAAATTCCGATATTCTGTATTATTTATTAGTTTTAGCATCAGTTTCAGAATTCAGGGGTAGCAAGGCAACGCAATTGGGATCAAGCTTGGGTTTTCCAAGTGGGGGATTTGTGAAATATATAGGTGAATTTGGTTGTGTAGGCTATAAGCTTTCGTCTTTATTGTTATTTCTCCATTAAAGGTCAACAAATGACTATTTTATTTTTTTTATAGACTTCACAATGTATATTCAATGCTATATTCATCTTGAAGTCTAAATATTTCATATGCTTCAAGGTTAGACACACTATCGGTCTTTCTTTTGTATCCTCTTGCACTATATTCATTAATCATTTGTATCCTCTTACTTGGACTTATGTTCATGAACAAAAGGTAACATAATAAAAAGCTCACTTTCTTTGTTATGTAGAAAAATGTTATTTTTAAAAAAATAAATAAATGCAGCATATAAGCATATTTAGAAGTTCCGAATAAAAATGCTAAAAGTTACATATAAGATTATATATTTATAGGTTCTATTAAATTTTTATTAGTATTTGTAGTATTTTTATTATATTAAAAAAAGTAAAAATATTTTTTTTATTTATGGATAAATATGAAAATTACTGGACTATTTAAAGAAAATACACTTTATTATATCATTTGACACTTGCATTATGCATGTAAATAAGTGTCAAATATTGATGATTTCAGGAAGTTTTTGTTTACATTGTGTCTAAGTTAAAGATTATCTATCCTAAGGCATATATATATATAGTTATGTAATACTATATGTTATGTCTCGATTTATATTATGTGTTTATAGCATAAAAGATTAACAGGTCAGGTGTTAAAAGCATAACATGTTAACTGTTTGAAATCAGTAACGCCAAAAAAACCGCCCATTTAGTTTCTAAAATTTAATAACCACATTTACTGTTTGTGGTTTGGTTTTAACTATAAAACCAAACCACATTCACCCCTACCAAACACTATACCTGATCAAAATCAACAAAATAAAAGGAATTAAATTCCTTCATAATGGGTGCATTCCAATTCCAATAGAGGCCTCACTTTAGAAAGTGTAGGTGTGGAAACATGACGTCAACATGTGACCCATAATGCAGTGAAAACACCAACTTAATCCGATTTCTAGTCTCTTCAAACGCAGCTTTTTCACCCAAAGACAGCTGAATAGACGCTAATTTCACCAACTCATTTCCAATCACAATATGCTCTTCCCCATAAAGCTTCTCCAACACCTTAATCGACGCTTTACAATGGTGACGTGCCCTTTGTAACTCTCCAATCCCACAAAACACTTTCGCCATGTGATCCTCCACCTCAGCAGCTCTCTTGTTATTCGGATGGAATATTTTTTTCAACATATCTAAACAAGTCAAACCACTTGCAACCACATCACCAGACTCAAACAACCTCTTACAAATCTCTCCCTTTCTTAATGTTCCATGTAAGCTTCCACAGCCACGCATACCCCCACAGTTTAAACAAAAACCCGGTTCAACCCAGTGATTTTTATTTAGATCACACAAAAGCCTTGCCACTTTCTTCACCTTATTATACTCAGCACTTCCAAACGGGGTGACTTTTCGGTTTTCATAGCTCACCTCATCACAATCCAAAACTACACCCGAACAACTCGGGTTCGAACATCGAAAAGCCTCGATAACAAGGTCGGATAGGTTTGTCTGTGTACAGCTGGCACATGAACATATAAACGCGTATTGATTTCTTAAACTCGATTGTCGCTCATTACAACGCCATTGTCCAACCTGAGTTAAGGGTAAAATAGTCATTTCGTCTCAATCAAACATTTTACATTGCACTGTGTTTGGTGTGTATTGGACTGAGACTGATTTACCTGTGGGCCATAGGAAAGCTCGAGTGGTTGACCAGAGGGGATAAACTTAATGGCGCGTATATTTAGGGTTCTAGAAAGAAAATATGTGTGGATGTTTGGTTGACAAGAATGGTTGAACATGCTTCCACTTAAATAAATAGCTTGACCAACTCTCACCTATTAAATTTAACACAATATATTTGAGTTTTCTATTTGTGAAAAACTTAAAAATAAAGAGAATAATCGACTAATGAAAACCTGTTCTATAGTGCTAGTTGTATGATTCTCGGAAGAATCAGAAGATTTAATACGAACAATTGCCATGGAATTCATTTGTATTTGTGAAAGTAGTAACACACACTGTGAAATCGTCTCCCCTTTTAATTGAAACTCAGAGCTATAAAAATGGTGAAGACATTTCAACAAAATGATGGAAGATATGTGGAACTCAAGTTTAGTTTCTGGATCGAGTCGCGCATAATTATGACAAAGATCCAAATTCACAATGCGTGAATTACCAAAATGCCCTTGTTGTTTTATGTATTTTACTATTACTCGACCAGCCAAAACTATTTCAGATGGTAATGCTGCAGACCAATTTGCTCCACATTCATGCTTATGTTCATCAGTTTGGTTGATATTCACATTTGATTTAGTAACACTTTCAACATACTTCTCAAGATCAAAATCAATATCATAATCCTTCTTCATATCACATTGTGGATCCTGCCAGCTGGCGTTTTCTTGACAAAATTGAGAGCAATATAGTGCCATTGAACATGATGGACATGGAACAACATTTTCAGGTAATTCATTGAAGCAGAAATGACAATGAGTTTCCCGAAATTCCTTTGATATTATCTGTAAATAAATCACTAAACAATATAAAAAAATAGATGACAATAATAAGTTAATAACCATTTTTACCGCAGCATAGGGTTCTTCTGTATGGAGCAAAGTGGATGGGGGTATTTCGGTCAAACACACCATGCCTCGTCCTTTTGTTTCTGTAGTAACACATTGCAATTGTATTTGTTGCGATTGATCTGAACAAGGTAACAATCATGAAAAATCATACCAGTATGAAGTTTTAACTATTTGTCAGTGTATGTGAAAATTATACCATTGATGTTAGAGTCTTTGACTTTAGCTACATTTGGTGGGAAATCTTTCATATGATGTTGATCTAAGATTAGATTAATCTCGTCTTCTATTTGTTTCTTTCCATTGATAGATTGTTCCATGCATAGGGAAACTTTAAAGTCACGAACCGCATTGTCATAATTTCCCATTGAAGTGTTTGCCTTACCTCTTCTATACCATGCCTACAGTGACAATATTCTGAAATAGGTCAACTGTAGTAAGATAAAAAAGAAAACTAAGCATACATAGCTCAGAGATAAGGAAGATTGGGAAGGTTATCTCACCTTTGAGTAACTTCTACAAATTGTAAGAGCCAGATTGCAATCTTGTAAAGACTCCACAAAAAGTCCCATTTTCTGTATATTAGTTAAAATGTAAGAACAATTAGTCATTCAGTATAGCTATTTCTTGTTAATTTGTAAGTATCAATCAATAAGCTATTTCTTGATGATTGGAAAATGGAAACAATGGGATTCAAAAGAACCTGTAATACAGCTGCACGATTAACGTATAGTGTTGCCACCAGATTTTTGCCCATGTCATTCACATCTCTTGGAGCAAATCGTAGAGCCTGTTCATTAGTAATATATCGTTATTCAAATTAGATCCAATACACAAGCATAAGAACGTTATTTTTCATTAGTTCATAATCCACCATCGAATGTGAACAGATTCAATCATGTAGATGGCTTGTGCAGATCAGTTATACGAACTTTAGCATTATTACTGAGACAGTAAAACCATTGTATTGATAGAAAGTTATAACTCTTAACCTGTGTGTAGAATTGCAAGGCATTTGAGTTATCTCCCTTGGAGAAGCAGTTATTTCCCTTGAGCTTGAATTCCAAAGCGGATTCCTTGTTCTTGAGAAACAGTGATGTGTCCTTGTACGCTAAATCTTCAACCATCTGGTGAATGGAATCAAATAAGATTAATAAAACAAAAAATATTTAATTACATGATCATAAGCGGATCTGTTGGGACGAAAGTAAAATCGAAGTGAGAGAGTAGATGTTTTGGATTACTTGGTGAAATTGGGGCAACTGGTTTAAGAAATCATGGAGAGAAGAGCAAGTATTAGGGAGGGTACGAGGATTGCTTTGTGAAATCGAAAGGATTAGGGTTTGTGAAATTGCTGATTTGAGTTTCTCCATTGGCGGGGGGAGAGAGTAACACGATGGACTTGAAACAAAACCCCAGGTCCTTTTTGCTGGGGTTTATAGACTTTCGCTTTTTGCCAAATCTACAATTTTCCTTTCATTTTTTTTTTTCTCCTTATCTTTTTTTTTTCCTTTGCCAAAACTAATTAGGCTAGAGATTATAAAGATAGGGATAATGACTTGATAGGGTAAGTTATTTTTTGAAATGTACACATTTAGTCATTATTCTTTTTTTTCTGTAAATTAAACCTTATACTTCATTAATATATACACATTAGGTCATTTTGACCGGATTCTATAGATTTTGCAGATGTGGAAGCACACGTGACACTAAAAACAACTGCATAACAATTAATTAGCTTAGTCACTCCTTATAAACGAATATTAACATCCAAAATCAGGAGGAATCACCTTCAAACTCGAACACATAGTAGATAAGAGAAGTGGGGAATTCGTAGAAGAAGAAAGAAGATGTCGACTGGCTCAAGAATCTCCACAGGTTCAAGCAATCACAAAGTAGATAAAGAAGTCCTCTGTGATTGTGATAGGTCGTATTTCATTATGATCTTCAACCAAGTCATCATTTTGTATTGGACAAAGTTTGTTGAGGAATTGATCATTGAAGTTTCTTTTGAGAGATATAACTTCATCGTCCTCTACATGTTCAGCTTTCAGACCATCTTCTAAAATGGAGTCAACATCATCAATAGAAACCAAATCTTCATCTTCAAGGTCTGTTTCTTCCTCCTGAATCCAATCAAACAAAGGTTCATGATAATGATCCACATACACATCCAATCTCTTCTTTTCATTGATATCTTCAAGAAACTCGTTAAAATCGCAGTCATTCTGAATAACATGTAATCCCTCCGACAACCTCACTTCATGTGGACAGTAATACACATCTCTGCATCTTCTGTTAGTAAGTTTTTCAAGAAAGGGGATGAAATCAGGGAAGTTCATCTTGTTCACAACCGTGTATGGTACAGAGGCTTTTACTCCATTAAAATACATCAATGGGGTAGGTATGAACACCCCATTATAGTGTACATCAACGGTTGTATCTGCATCTTCTACCATTGTTGATGGTGATTGTAAGTCAAGAAGTTTGAGGGATTATCGGCTGAGTGAATGGAGGAATGGTTGATTAAATGAGCCCTAGTTGTCGTTTCAATGTGGTGTAATTTAACAATATCCACGTAAGATGACATGTGGATGCCACCTGGTTATTTCATTTCAAGAAAATAAAATAAAATTCGTATATGACCGGTAAACCGGCTATAGCCGATCAAAAGGATTGCATAATTACAAAAAATCGGGTATAAGGGTTTAATTTACAAAAAAAAAAAAAGAATAAGGACTAAATGTGTACATCTCAAAAAGTAACTTACCCTATCAAGTCATTTTCCCTATAAAGATTTATAGCAAAATAATTCAATTTGTATTTTAGATTTTATGAAATGACCATTGAGACATGAGATATGACCGTAGAAACTGAATTCTTACTTTACGTATGCATGTATCGTTAAAAATGTACTTAAAACATAAAATACTATTCGACTTCATTCCTTAATCACAAAAATTTACAAAAAGAAACTAAAACATTTTTCCAAACCCTTAACCTAATGATTACAAATTTTTACTTCCTATTTGTACTGCTTAAAGAGGCAATTAGGCAAAATGGTTGAAACAAAACGTATTTTGATATCAAACAATTTTTATCAAGGATATTAACAAAACTAAGCTATATAAGATTATTAACAAAAATAATTTCCGTTTTGCAGAATTTGAAAATTAATCAACATCATAAGAATGTTGCATTCCAAAATATTCCAGAGTTGATGGTGGTTAGCATGATGTGATGTACAAGTATTTCGGACTATGATATCGTACATCCCGAACTCATTAAGTGTATTCTAGAATACAATACGGAATGTACGAACATTCTAGATTGTTGTTCCAAAGTCACAAAACAAATTATTTCTATTGCTATTGTTGCTCATTTTTAGCATATTTTTATGCAAATTGTGTTAGAAAATATGCACATATATATTTCTATTATTGAAAATGAGTTCTTATAATCAAGTTTTTAAGAGTGCCTGTTTATAGTGGAGGGCAATAGAAGTGAATAGACAGATCTATGAAATGGTTGCTTTGAAGTTCAGATTAAATACTAATCATATCAGTACGTCTTTTCAATGTCATTGATCAAACATAGATATGTACATTATTGATGACTGTAATGTTATATATTTTCTTAATTTTTGTAACCAGTATGTTTCCTAACACAACCCAAATCATTTGTTGTTAACCATGTTCTAAAAGGGTGGTGTTAATCGATTTGCAGGGGAAATTGTTCTAGTGTCAATGGGTTGTTCTGTGTGGGAAGTAACCAATTATGGAATTTATTACCTATGACACTAATCAAGTTCCTTGTTACAATAGCCTTGTAGATGGGGTGATCTTAGGTATAAATGTAAGGTTCTTGTTAATGATGGTCCAAAAAATGAGGGTGGTGAATCAACAATCGATCACACAAAATTGATGATATTGGTTAATGATGCAAATTTACTTCCACACGGAAACTCGATGGAAAAATTCCAATGTGTATCTGAATATGAGGATGATGAGACTGAATAGTGAATATGATGACGAGGAAACTGAGCCCTGATAACTGAAGGGTTTCATAGGTTATAAAACATGTAAAATGCGGAAAAATCACTTAACAATTAATAGGGTACATGCAACCTATAAGGATCTATGTCTTCACATTTGAAAGCAACATACTATGAATATCAAGAACCCTACAAGAATCCTACTATAATCGAAATAAGTAGATCTAGGGTTACATACCTTTGAATTGTTATAGTAAACAATTCCTTGAATCCCTTCCTTTGTAGATCGTGGAAAGCTAGCACCAAAAGTATGATGCATGTAATGGTTTGTACCCAAACCCTAGAACTAGAAGACAAGAGGAGCGAGGAGATGGAATGAAAATTTTGGCTATTCTTCTGGGAGAAGGAGTGTATGAAAATGCTTATGATAAAGGTCCTATTTTAAATAAATAATGAAGAATCATAGTGGCTATGCATAAAACCACGCCAAAGAATAAACTGCATAAACCTGTGAAACTAGGCACACGATGCATGTTTGAGACCATAAAATGATTTCTGTAACAAGCATACATGATTATGAAATCAATAATCTTGAAAACATGGAGGTTTCTGCATGTAAAAAATTTCCTACAAATAACCATGTAAGAAAGCATTTTTAACATTTATGTGTCGAATGGGCCAATATTAGGAAACCGTAATAGTGAGCACAGTACGGATGGTGGCAGGTTTGACAACCAGACTAAACGTATGATTACAATCGATGTCTGGTCATTGGGCCTTGCTATTAACAACATGGCGGGCCTTATATTGAGCTAAGAACCTATCAACATTGAGTTTCTTCTTAAACAACCCAAATGCAATTAATAATATTGATCTCAGAAGGGTGTGGGATGAGATTCCAAGTTCTGTTTGAAATAAGTGCCTGATATTCTTCTTGCATGGCATTGTGCCGATGAGGGTCGTTAAAAGCCTGTGAATAAGACCTAGGAATGGAGATATATAATTTACATGAATATTTAATCGAGTGACAGGTTTGACTATGCCATGATGGGACCTAGTCGTCATGGAGTGGGACGATGGAAAGGATGATGATTGTGGAATCGACCGATTAACAACGTCGGGGGATGTCGAGTAGGTAAGATGATCGTGAGGATCATCTACCGTAGTGGATGGGGAAGTTGGAGTGGCAATCGTGGGTTTCAGAGTATGAGGGTCGACATCGGATAGAGTAGGTGAATCTGAAGGTGTTGATGAGGATGAGTGGTTTGGAGATCGGAGGAATTTAGATGCAAACATGTTAACATCGTCAATGACATGATCAAGAAATAGTAATGATGTTTCATCGAAAATAACATGTCTAGAGATAATTATCTTGTTATCAGCAAGATTCAAGCAGTGGAACCTGCAATGATGTCACAGGTATCCGAGAAACACACAAGGGATGGTACGAGGGGATAATTTATAAGGAGTGACAATGTGTGGGAAACATAAGCACTCAACTAATAAGAAGATAAAACACTTTGCAAGATTTGGTATGTAAATACTCTATCCTTATCTTACTTAATATTCTGTGGATTTGAAGCCTATGTTAGACTAAAGCTTATAGACCTAAAATCAACTAATTACATATTTGTAGAATATTCTAAAAGGTTGTTTAGATTATTTTATACAAAGCCACCAATAATAAGTTCTCGTATTCCTCTAAGAGTTGAGTTATCAGAAAGAAAGCTTCTAATAACAAAGCAAGTGGGAGACACATGAAACTTGAAGCAACTCAAGAACCATAGCCCGATGTAGCAACAATTGGCACTAGTTTTAACAAGAAATTGTTGAACATGAATAATAACTATTCATAAACACAAGTTATTTGCATATATGGTAGAAATCATCTATAACATGCGAAATATGGAGTCTCTCACTGATAAGTTCTTCTTGATGATTTCTGGCAAATTCATCAACTACCAAAATGCCATTTTGACTTTGAAACTGATTAATGACTTAGATTCATGAACGTTGAGATGAAATCCATGTATAATAATCAAGTGTGAGATTAATTAATCTTCCTCCCTATAGCACGACTACACGTAGTAAGTAATTCTTTTAGAAAGAATATATGCATAGAGATCTAAACACATTTATCAAGACTTGTTATAAAAGACTTTTCTCATACTCATGTCATTGACTATGATCAAACATTTTCCCAAGTAGCTATGATTAGATCAAAAAAATATTATTTACCATAACTACATATTCTGATTATGAGATACAATAAATAGATTTCAAGAAAACCGCTTTTCTTAATAGGCACCTACTTGGAGATGTCTATATAGCTTAGTCTGGAGGTTTTCTTAATCCAAATTATCCTAATAAAATGTTTAAGACTTTAGATCCATTTGTAGATATAAAACAAGCA